GTGACAACTTAGCTGAAATGGACCAAAAAGTCTCTAGAATTAATTTGACAATTTAGATAAAATGGACCAATTCCTTGAAGAGCACGAACTACCACAACTCACCCAATATGAAACAGAGCGTTTGAATAGCCCTAAGAATATTTTTTAAAAAAACTAAATTCCTACTTTTAAAATCCCCAAAAAAGAAAGGATACAAGATTAAGATTAAAGTCAAAGGATACAAGATCAACATATAAAAATCAATTTTATTTCTCTATACTGGCAATGATCATGTAGATAACGAAATTTAATAATAAAATACAATAGCTTAAAAAAAGAGAAATATTTAGATGCAAATCTAACAAAACATGTTCAGAACTTGTATACTGAAGACTATGAAATGTTGATGAAAGAAACCAAAGAAGCTTAAAATAATGCATACAGTGTTCATGTATAGGCAGACTCAATATAATGAAGATGTCAATTCTCCGCAAAATCAAAATCCGAAAAAGATTTTTTGGTAGATATAGACAAAATTATTCTAAAACTTATATGAAGAGACAAAGGAACTGAAATAGGTAAAATTCTTTTGAAAAAGAATAAAGCAGCAGGAATCAGTCTACCCCACCCCAAGTCTTCTTCTATAACTACAGTAATATAACTAAACCTAGACAAATCTGCAGATAATTATGCTGAGTGAAAAACGCAAATCCCAAAAGGCTTCTACAATACTATTTCAATTTTTATAACATCTTTAAAATGACAAAATTATAGGTAAGAGAACAGATCAGTGGTTACTAGGGATTAGGAAAACAGTGAGGGATGAGAGAGAAGTGGGCGTGGCTGTAAAAGGTCAGCATGAGGGATCTTTGCAGTGATGGAAATGTTTTGAGTCTTAGCCACGTCAAAGTCAATACCTTAGCTGTGATGTTATACTACGGTTTTGGAAGATGCTACCACTGGGGGAAACTGGGTAAAGGGTACACAGAATTTTTCTGTATTTTTTTTTGCAACTGCATGTAAATCCAAAATTATTTCAAAATAAAAATTTTAATCAAAGAAAAAGGACTCAAGAGCCAGCTTGAAGAGGTTCTGACTGGTAAATTAGTGGTAATTTGTGTACCAAAATAATTAAGAGCTGTAATAAATTATAAATCATTGAAAAGCATAGGAATCCATGAGTATATACCTATGATAGATATACAGGCAGACAGATAGATAGAAAGATAGATAGACAGACAGTAGGTAGATAGATAAAAAGGTGGAGAAAGAGGTCTTACAGCAAAAAGCAGGATGCAGGCTGGTAAACATGCAGAAAGTGCTAGAGTTAAGAAATAGTCATTTTGCAGACATCATAGTCTAGATTGGTTCACCCAAGAGTCATCAGTGTATGCTAAATTAGAAGAGAAGATGGTTCTGATAAGGAACAGCAAATTTACACAACTCGAGAGTGATTCCCCACAGTTTTCTTATTCCTTGAAATTAAAAAATAGTAACTACATCGGGAAGAAATCAGATAATACATGGAATGGATAATCAA